AATCACGATATGTCAGTATCCAGGCTCTTATATCATAAAGAGTAATTCTCCACTCCACTATCAGTAAAGGGAATGGGTACAAGCTTTTGGCCCGCTTTCGGCGCAACTATTCCTGGGATAGTTTGGGTGGACAATCGTTAGTTATGATTGGTCGATGGTACTCAAGGCAACCATTAACCAATCTTATTATTCATTCAAAACATTTCCCCGATTCTGATTGGCTAAAAGCACACGTTTAATTCACCTTAACCAGTTATTGATGACTAAATTTGGAAGAATTTGTGTTTAACGAGGAAATGACGTCAAAAATGCAGCCTTCTACAGGTTAATGAACTGTTAACCGAGAAGACCTGGGGACGAGGTTGAGTTGTTTTGGTTGTGAAAACAAAAATGGCCGACACTTCACTCGTTTCAAGAGTAAGAACTACAGCTGGAACGAGGCGAAGTAATAGCTAAAAACAGCAAAAACAGCAAGAAGACAACTCGGAGGGCGACATCTGTTATTTGGAGAACATTTACGGAGCTAGCGTACACTATCGAAGATGAACTGAACATCGATGGATCGATGGAGGAAAGCATGTTCTAGCTATGCTTTTAAACTAGGAATTATTTTGAATAAATAATAAAACAATTATTGAATTCGGCTTTCGTATCATATGAAGAATTATGGAGATCTCGGAGGGTGTAACACCCTCCTCTATCTCCATAAGTCTTCATAACATACTCAGCCTTATTCATTAACTGTTAAATAAGTAAGGCTTCTCCACCCAAACGATCCCAAAAACCATTGCGCAGAAAGCTTGTACCCATTCTCCTTTGAGTTTGTGGAGTGGTCAATAACAATTACGATACACAGGGCAGAACGCCGTTTCACCTTTTTTTACTCTGACTACTCTGGTAGTAGTGTTCAAGAGGAAAACTGTACAGTATAAAAATAAGATCTACGCCAACTTTGATCGTGAAATTCGAACTTTACTTTTTTAAGAAGACATTTCAGGCTAACTAAAAAGAGACTTAATATGTTAGAAATTGTGTAAATGGGTTATTAAATCACTGGAAAACGTCTCTTAAAATGCATCAATAAAGAAAAAGTGAAGAGCAACATTATTCAATTTGCATATTGCTTAGCTTCCTTTTTTCATGCGGTTAACTACGGCTAGCACTATCGCGTGTCAGTGGTGAACTTGCACTATAATCCACTGAAACAAAATAAGCTTAAGTAGTTTAAAATATCAGTGACTTCTGTCAGGCTGCTGTCTATCTGTATTTGGAGGTCATGCAAATCATGGCAGCATGCTACTTCAGTTTATCCGTTATCTAAGGGGGTGTTCATGAGAAAACTCGCCCCGGCGCGAGTTTCATACCGGGATGACTTTTTTATTCGGATCGCGTTTTCATTATGACTGGGTCATATCATATCTCGTTATTTGAAGGTACACTTCATGTTGATAAAATAAGTCGCCCCGGTGTCATGTAAACACCCCCTAATTGCAGAACAAAGTCGTTAAGGAAAACGCTTAAGAACTCTGAGCTGAAAAAAAAAATGAGAAGAATTTAGATGGATATCAGAGTGCTGAAAAGGTCTAGGAACATACCTTTTATCTACAGACGTGATCATGTGACCTTGTCGTCATCTTCATTGTTCGTGAGTTGGTCAACGTACGAATACTAACGCAAAGACTGTGATAATCGGATCTTACTGAGACTAGCCAGTTCTATCGACACTCATATACAGCGGAACGTCGATGCGGAAGGCCCAAAGGACTAGCAAAATATGTTCGATTTAAGGAGGTTTTATTAATATCATATCCAAGTACTTTTCCATAATTTTTACTATTACTCGGGTAGAAGAAAATCGTTCGTTATACAGAGGACTTCATCAAATAGAGGTTCCACTGTAAATACAATCCTCCTCCTCACTATACTTTCTTCGTTTATTCCTTGTTCTCAGCTCAAGTTCTTTACAATTCAATTACGTTCAATTACAACTCGCCTAAAGTTTAAGCCATCCCTGGACATTTGGGTAGAAAAACCTTATATTACTGATAAGCCACTCAACTCGGCCGAAGAGTATGATCAGGACATGCGGGTATATTAGCCTACGTAGCAGGCTAAGAAAAACATGGTGCTGTGAAGGTGGCCGTAAGTAGAGCTGTTCGCTTACTAAAGTGTCCGTTAGGAGAGCTTACACTGTATAACATGGCTGATATGGTGAGAGGAAGGCAACCTGACGAAGAGGTGAAATTTGATTCCCCAAAGGTTGAATTAGTCTGATCGCAGGTTATATTCTCACTGCTTATTGCTGACTGACTTATACGTACATATCTATGGCCGCCCAAAGATGTTCTTTCGATTTAAAGCATAGCAATAAGATTGTTAAGGCATTGTTAGTGAATATCTATCTGCGGGCTACTCAGTGCGACTGTTCCATATAAAAATGGTACGCGGCTAAGTGGAAAGTGACTTGTAAGATTTCCAAGTGGGCATCCATGGTGGAGAGCCACTATTCCATCTGTGTGGAAATCAGAAATATCCACATAATACTGATTCACATGTAGCCCTAATGGCCCTGGCGGCTTTGGCGCAAAACACTCAATGTTGTTGTTGAATGCACATTGTAGAGCATCGTAACTGCTTGTAAATAGCTGAGAAAATGCTTCGGCTGAACGCAAGTTATATCTTGTAGCTCAGTTGTGTATGAGAAGATATATCAGGGGTAGTTGGAGGCCGTTCGTCTTACATTTGTAGCTGAAAGATAGTGTGTGGCCGTAAAGTTTAAATTCAGGCGGCAATTCAGCTTCAGCGATTCCGTATATTAAATGAAGCAGCGATTTCAGGGCTTCCCTAGAAAAGTCGTCGGCATTTACTGGGATTATAAGCCTCTGTGCTGCGAGCAGGGCGACTTCGGTGTATACCGAGAAAGAAGGGTTAGTATCGGTGAAAACGACCCATCTTCTGTTGTCTCCTGGTTGGCATGCTACCCCTGGGGTAAAGCACAATGTCCCTCGATTATCATGTCCCTCTATAAAATAGCGGACAGAGGAGATAATGAAGACCCAAGTACTGTCATCTGGAAGGTTCCCAATCCTCTTTTGTTCCAATGAACGAGCGACTGTTTCAAGATGAATGTCTCCACAGAGAAGGTAAACATTTGATGGTATTTTATTGTTGAAGTCGTTCACCTGGGTCAAGAATGCCAGTAGGTCTACAGTTGAAAGATCATACGAAATGGACACGCAATGAAGATAGAAGCTTATTGTTCTACGTTGCGAAGTCAAATAATCGACATTTTCTTTTCCTATCAACGCCATTGAAACATTTGCTTGAGGGCAGAGATCTATCACCAAAACGGTTTCAGGAGACAAAGCTAAAGGCGGCAGAGTCAGTGCGTAATGCGTAGACATGTGAAAAGTTAGCGTAGTTTTGCCAACGCCTCCTTTGTTGTTCCAGGTTACATAAGATTTTAGAAGCGGCATCGTAAACGGTAAAGAAAGAGAGCATACAAAACAAGTCCGCCTTAAGCAAGTGTCTCTAGCCAATACATTCAAAGTTGCACTTTCGATCCCAAGCCGAGCCGCGCTAAACACGATAACCAATCAGAAAATGTTCCTGTCTTTCTAAGAATATCAATCACGCTTAAACGAACTTTGGTCACGTTTTCTAGGAAAACTTTTAAGAGCCCCAAAGGGACTTTTATTTGCTGAGGCCTGGAACCTAGGGGGAAGTAATTAAAATCCTGATTTGTTATTAATTGTGATTTTAGGTCGCTTTTTCAGAACATTTTAGGACACAGAGTCTCCATAATGCTTTAATTTCTCTCTCGATTTTTTTTTTTATTATATGTAAACACATTATTTTTCTTCACAGATTTTGTCCCTGCGTCCTCCTCGCTATGTTTTCCTTACTTTTGACACTAACAAGCTTTATTCAGCTTCTGACGCGGATGATGGTCATTGATTTTGCGTTCGTGAAAATTGATATATGTGTACCTTAACCTTACCGAGAAAGGCAGTTGGGGTAGACGGCATTTCACCACGAATCTTGCGTTTGGGATCCCCAGTTCTTGCCGAAAAGGTGACTAAGTTGATCAAATTCTGTATTCTGAATCGCTCATTGCCGTCTGAATGGACGCAAGCGCGCCTTACTCCTGTCTTTAAACGGGGGATTGACACAGACAAAGCAAACTACCGCCCTGTCTCCATAATAACTTCGCTATCGAAGGTGTTTGAGAAAGTTATTTACGACCAAACTTGGAATGCATTTCATAACGCTTTGTCCTCAAACTTATCTGGATTTATGAAAACTCATTCTTGCTGCACGGCATTTCAAAAAATGACTGAAGATTGGAGGAACAGTATTGATAACAAGGAAGCTGTAGCGGCGGACTTGAGCAAAGCGTTTGACGCCATAAACCACCGCCTTTTGCTCGCGAAGTTGAAGGCTTATGTCTTCTCTCCACATACCTTGGACCTGATGTTCACCTACCTGCTAGGTCGTCAACAATGTAGAAGGCGATTAGAAGATTAGAAGGCGTATGCTCTAACTTCAAAACAGTAAAATCTGGCGTTCCTCAAGGCTCACTATTGGGGTCGTTGCTGTTCAACCTTTTTATCAATGGCTTGAATTTCTGTGTTCCAAATGTCTCATTGCGGCTGTACGCTCATGACACGACTGCCTACCTGTTAGATGTATCTCCCACCATTCTAGAATTTTCCTTCAACAAAGATCTACAGACCCTTTCGTCGAGGTTTGAGTCTAACAACAACAACAAGAACAGTTTATTTCTACTTCTGGAGACAACTGGAAGAATTTACAAGAATACAATTATAAATAAATAAATAAACAGTACATACAGTAGTGGGACACCCCAAATAACTAAAAGCTAAACTAGTTGGGAACCGTAATTATGATAATTAAACTGAACGTGAAAGCCAGGAAAGAGGCACAACAAATACATTGGTACAAATAAATATCATAAACTTGGTACAAAAGAAAATATACAGAATAGAACAAAACAAATAAATATAAACCATCAAAGTATCAGTAAAGATTAATAGAGACTAACGAAATGCGAAGTTATAGTTCTTTTTTAAATTGATTGGAAGTACGACACTTGAATCTTTCATCGAGTTCATTCCATAATTTAGGTCCATTAAATCGAATATTAAATTTGCCATAATTTGTTCGAATGTTTGGAAGATAGAAAGTAGATCTAGATGCAAAACGAGTATTTACATTATGTCTACAAGATGTTTTAACAAAAAACGAATCAAAGATCTTTGCTAGTTTACCAGTATTAAACTGGTGCATAAAAAAGAGAATTTGAGGCTTAATATGATCTTGAAGTTTAAGAAGGTTAAGCTTAGCAAACAAAGGACTTGTATGTGCATCGAAATTGGAGAAAGTAATTAAACGGATTGCTTGTCTTTGTATTATTTGAAGTGGTTTAATGTTATGGTCATAAGTGTTGCTCCAAACTATACAGCCATAGGAGAAAAAAGGAAGAATAATGGCATGGTACAATTAAAATTAGTGTTTTCGTATCAACAAAATGTCTAATCTTACATAGGACATCAATACCCTTAGATATTTTTTTGAAATTTGTTGGATTTGTTCTTTGCAATTGAGATTAGAGTCTATGAGAATGCCAAGGTACTTAACACTTTTTTGTTGATTAATTGGTTTACCATGATGTGCCATCTATTTCAATATTCAAGGAATTGTTGATCTTTTTTTGATGAGGATGAAATATTACAAAATGTGTTTTAGCAGAATATAGTTTGTTGGCACGAAGCCATAGGCTAATTTCACTGAGTTCTCAATTAACATTTTGCTCAAGATGCTGTAAATCACTATGGGTATAAAATAGATTAAAATCATCAGCAAATAAATGGAAATCAAAAATAGATGAACAATTGGTGAAGTCATTAATATAAATCAGGAATTATACTGGGCCAAGCATAGAGCCTTGTGGTACCCCACATGTTATTTGCAGTGGATCTGAATCTAAATTGTTTACAGAAATAAATTGCTGTCTGTTAGTTAAGTATGAGCGGAACCACTCATTTGGTAAACCCAAAATTCCATAATGTTCCAGTTTAGCTAAGAGAATGCTGTGATCTACCGTATCAAAGGCTTTACTTAAGTCCAAAAATATCCCGCAAGAGTATAATTTACTTTCAATGGCTCTTTAGATTTTATCAGTGAAAAGCATAGAAGCCTGAGTAGTTGAGCGTCCACTACGAAAACCAAATTGACTATCATCTATCATATTATGTTTCTCAAGAAAATTGACTAATCTGTCAAACATTAGCTTCTCCATTATTTTATGAAAAACAGATAACAGAATAATTGGTCTATAAGTGGAAACTAAAGCCTGGTTACCAGTTTTGTATAGAGTTATCACTCTCCCAATTTTTAACTTATCTGGCACTAAGCCCAAAGAAAAAGGACAATTAAATATTTAAAATAATGGATAACACAAGATGCTCTTCACTAATTTAAGATTTTCACTGAAATGCTATGTGGCCCCAGTGCTTTACTTGCATTTAAGCTAGAAATAATATTCTCAACTTCTGTTGGTGATACTGGTGACAAATAAAAACTGTTGCATTGTGAATTTGTTAAATATTCCACAAAGGTGCTATTGCCAGGTTGAATACCATTGACCAGCATTGGCCCAACTGAGGCAAAATATTTGTTGAAGGCATTAGCTATATCTTTGGCATCGGTTAAGGTGCTACCATTGACTGTTAATCTATTTGGGAAGGACAATTTACCACGCTTGGAGCTAATAAGCTGCTTAATACCCTTCCATGTGGCTTTTGCATTATCATTCTCTCTTTTTTGTTCTTGTAAATTTTATAGCGAGAGTGATTACTTTGAGACGTACTTGTTATATAATGCTTAAATAGCGTATTTTTGGTTTTAAAAGATTTACGAATACCCTGGGTAATCCAAGGTTTGGACTTAAACTTTGCTTCTCGTGGACTTAACTTTTTTAAAGGAGAAATTTTTTGTCTTTCGGAATTAAAGAAGGGATTTTTCCTGGATTTATGGTGGTCTTGCTGCAGATGTAAAGAAAGATAAAAAGAAAATCTACTGCAAAATCAAATTTGTTGAACAAATAAATATTGAGAAAAAGTTGATCGCACTTTCGAGTGTTTTCATTTTAATCGATAAACGGCCCGGGCTTTACAAACTGTAGCTTTTTCTTGTAGAGCACAAGAATTTGTTATTAAAGGGATCCAAATCTGAGCTGAAATTTAATTCAGTATCATTCTCAGTCAACTTCACTCGTTCTTTTGTTCTAGAAAGTTTAAAAGGAAAAAGTCATGCAATTGTCACGAAGAGAAACGAAGCGAGATCAGTGTTGGGGATTTTTCGACAAAATAGAGTAGTGCGTATAATGGAGTATATTTAAACAGGACTGAACTATTATCTTGAGGTTTTCTTCGAATCCTAATATGTTTTAAGGTTTTGAAGGTTAACCAAAAAGTCGTGACTCTGATCAGCACTCTAACCCTTCTATATATAAACGACATATTACCCACAATTCCTTGAATTGCTCTGATGAAGGGCTAACACCAAAAATGTTAGCATTTCAGTCTCTTTACGGTAGCAAATTCACCGTCTTGTCAACGCAGTTCATCACGATAAGGTTTTTGTGTTTCACTACACCACGCACGCAGTACCTCAGTTTCTTTTAACAGACTTTTTAACAATTATTCCTCGAGCCCGAATGGGTTCTGAGTCAATAGCCCATGAGGCCGAAGACCGAATGGGCTATTGACTCAGAGACCGTGCGGACGAGACGAATAATGTTTTTAGTAAAATCCAACTAGTTGTTCAAAAATATCAAGACAAAACAACTTAAGTTAGCAAAACGCGATTCATCAGCCATTGTTTTGGTTTCCAAAGCAGGCGCTTTTCGCTACTGGTTGGCTATAACATATAGCCTAGTAGTAGCTCAACCAATCAGAACGCAGCATTGATAATAGACCACGAGTTCGATTTTACTAAAAGTCTCAATATCCACATACAGATTCTCCAGACTGATCTTCATACATTTCCTTGAAGAACTACTTGAGAGAAAAGTTTAAGAATCAAAGGCTTTTTGTCTCTTAAGTGTTCATTTTATTAATTCTCTTAACCATTTCTTCTTGACAATCTCTTCTTATTGTTAAGAGGAAATTGATTATGGTCACTTCTTGGACTTGCAGAGTCAAGACTAACTATACTATACACTTACAATTTTACTGAACATCATCAACGCCATACTGGGCTGACACCTCATGCCTGCCTGAACTATTAATTTTAATTTGCTCATAAGATTTTTCATTTACTTTAAAATATTCGAGTGAACTATCTATCGATTCAGAAAGTAAAAACGGAAGGGATAAATCTTATCTTTCCTTTCGTTGTTTCTGAGTGGGTTTTTGTGCGTGTACTGCTATACTCTACTTAGTATCGGCTG